GACTAGTTGGAGAGGGAGGAGAGGGAGCAGTTTGAGAGGGCACGAGAGCAGCAGCAGCAGCAGCAGTTGCAGTCTCAGTTGGAGCGTCAGGAGAGAGTAGAGAAGGAGTCATAGCTGCACCAGGAGAGAGTAGAGGAGGAGTTACTTCAGCAGCAGCAGCAGCAGCAGTCTCACTCGGAGCGTCAGGAGAGAGTAGAGGAGTCACAACCGCACCAGGAGAGAGTAGAGGAGTATTTATCTCAGCAGCAGCAGCAGCAGCAGCAGCGGCAGCAGCAGTAGCATCAGCAGTCTCAGTCAGAGCGTCAGGGGAGAGTAGAGGAGGAGTCACAGCCACAGTAGGAGAGAGTAGAGGAGGAGTCACAACTGCAGCAGCAGGTGCAGTTGCAGCCATAGCAGGAGAGAGTACAGCAGAAGTCCCGCCCGCAGCAGCAGGTGCACTTGCGGCCGCAACAGGAGAGGGTAGAGCAGAATTCACGGCCACAGCAGCAGGTGTTGTTGTAGTCACAGCAGGAGAGAGCATAGGAGGAGCCAGAGGAGGCAGGTGCCTCAGCAGCAGTCGCCAGAGGAGGCGGAGGAGCAGCGACTGAGAGACCTGCCCGACCCAGCACCTGCACGATTTGTTTGTGGTCTTCTACCGTCCCCTCCTATTCCCCCTGTCGAGTCCCTTTCCTCGTCCCAATGGACTCGTCGTTCCCCCCTCAGTCGTACTGTGTCCCCAGAGCCTCGTCGATCCCATTACCATGTCGACGATCCGTTTCACCTTGTTCTTCGCTCTCGTGTTCCACCTCCTCCTGTCCTTCCATAACCTCCTGTGTCGTCCCTCACTGTGTTTCACGACCCATTGTCCGACTACCTCCGTGCCTCCCGTCCTGTCGTCTCCTGTGTTTTGTCCGCGTTGGTCACTCACCTGACTGCCCCTTTGTCGTCTGTCTCGGCTCTTGTTGCTACGGTCGATGCCTTTGCCTCTTCCCACCGCCTTGACTACGCCGCCCATCTGGTGAGTGGCACTGCTCGTTCTCCGTCCTCTGGGGGTGCTCCTGTCTTTCCCTTGGAGATCCTAGAGGACAGGCAGTTCGAGCTTGGTTTCCTAGCGACCGCTGTTCCTCATCTCTGCAGCATGTTGCTTGCCCCTGAGGGGGATCCAGACGCCCTTGACATCCCGATCCCTCGCACTCACACCGAGGCGGTCTCGGGACCCTGGGCTTTGTACTAGATAGCAGCTGAGGAGGCAGAGATGGCATCTTATAGGTCCACATGCACCTACGTCGACGCCGTCCCACCACCTGGGGCGAACGTTGTTAGTGGCATGTGGCTCTACAAGGTGAAGCGGCCACCTGCAACACCACCGGTGTTCAAGGCGCGCTATCTGGCGAGAGGCTTTAGTCAGCAAGAGGGGGAAGACTTCTTTCAGACCTTCACTCCCACCCCGAAGATGACCACTCTTCAGGTGTTGCTGCATATTGCAGCACAGCGCGACAACGAGTTGCACTCCTTCGACTTCCCACTGCGTTCCTTCAGGGGAGCCTGCACGAGCAGATCTGGCGACATTGTCCACTTGGCTTCACTGGCACTTTCCCTCCTGGGACCCAGTGGCAGCTGCATCGACCGGTCTACGGCCTGCGCCAGGCTCCCCGCGAGTGGCAAGACACGCTACGTACGACCCTTGCAGCGGTTGACTTCTTTCCGTCGTCTGCCGACCCGTTCCTGTTCGTCCGCCGTGGCTCGACCCCATTCTTTGTTCTGGTCTACATTGATGGCCTGGTCTTCGCCACTCTTGACCGACGCGCACTGGCCTCCGTGAAGGAGGAACTACAGAGGAGACACACTTGCACTGAACTTGGTGAGCTGCAGCGCTACCTTGGCATGCAGATCACCGAGGACAGGGCAGCTCGCACCATTACGCTGACGCATTCGCATATGGTCGAGCAGATCCTCACGTAGTTTCGCTTCCCGTTCATGGACTGACGACTCCATCTTTGGACGAGCCATTTGAGTCCAGCAATCCATATCCTGAGCTGGTGGGTTGTCTCATGTACCTGATGACCTGTACTCGCCCAGACCTAGCTTACCCTTTTAGCGTACTTGCGCGCTTTGTTGCGCCTGGGAGACACCGACCTTCCCATTGGTACGCTGCTAAGAGGGTGGCGAAGTATGTGGCGAGTACATCAGGCATGGGACTTGTCCTTGTAGGGAAGCAGCCAGTTACATTTACAGGTTTCTCAAACTCGTTGTGTGCCGACGACGCAGAGTCGCTGCAGTCTACACAGGGTTACTGCTTCAGCCTTGGGACTGGAGCTGTTTCGTGGAGGTCGACTCGGGCGTCATCCGTCTCTAGTTCCAGCTATAAGGCAGAGGTTGCAGGGATTCACTCTACAATAGTTGTGAGCTAGACCACGCGAGGAGTTGGCACGAACTACTAGGAGTGATCGTAGCTTTGCTTAGTTCCTTAGTGCTTGCGCATTCACGGGAGAAATCGGCAAGAGTTTCCACTAGAAAAGTCGAAATTACATAATGGTTTAACAAGCAATGACAGAAATGACCACATCAGGCACCTAGGAACTCTGCAGCTAGCCTGGTCGACCGACAGCACAGCATGGTCGACCGCCTGCCAGCGTCGCGTAGAGGAGCCGCGCCAGGACTGCAGAAGAGCGACCTGCCAATGCTGCAGGTCGACGGCGTGCCAACGCTGCAGCAAAGCGGCTGTCCAGCGTTGCCCCGTAGAAGACAACAGTGCGCACGCTCGCAGGTGCGCGCAGACAATTGGCCCGACTTGCACTGTTGTGCATCCGTCGGCTGTTGTCCGCGCCTGATGAGCCACATCGACTTCGGGATACCAACCCGAAGTCGCCTTTGCCATCGCGACCTCGACGACGTTCGCGTGCCTCCGCGGAACTCGTCGAGCAGGTTACCCGGTCGACCACCAAGTGCTCTTGTCGACCACCACTGCCTCTGGTCGACCACCAGGTGCCTCTAGTCGACCACAGCTCCTGTCGAGCTACTCCCTGGTCGACGGACCCCTTCGGTCGACCAGAACTGTCAGTTGTTGACGCCGAGATCCCCTCGTCGACCGCTGCTCATTTGTCAGGTCGACGGACCGCTCCGTCGACCTCCCGGTCGAACTGCTCCTCCCGGTCGACGGCCCACCTGTCAACCAGCCCAGTTAGCTGCAGCTGTCGAGCTCCCTGGTCGTCAGCAACACCACAGCGGTCCCCTACAGTTCGACGAAGCCCGTCGAGCAGCTCTCCCACTGTGAACGGTCGGCTGCTTCTCCCGCACATCGGACCAAGTCGTCGGCGTTGCCCAAGCGAGGGCGGGCCAACACTCCATTCCCGTTAACAGAGGTGTACGCTGCGGCCATGGCCGCCCAGGAGCTTTGCTGGCTGTCTTTCCTCCTCACCGACCTTGGTGAGCAGCCTCGCTCTCCCCCAGTCTTGTTCGCCGACAACAGGTCTGCTATCCTGTTGTGCAAGGAGCCCTGACTGGTTGAGAAGGCGAAGCACATCCAGCTTCGTTACTTCCTTCTACGAGAGTTGCAGCAGCGTGGCCAGGCACTCGTGCGACGTGTGGTCTCTGAGTCCAACACTGCAGATATCTTCAACAAGGCGTTGTCGCCTTGTGGCCACTAGCGTTTCTGCACCGAGCTTGGCCTTGTGTCTACAGGCCCTCACTTGCTTGCGTAGATATTATTTGTCTTGTACTCTTGCATCTCACTATATATCCTATATTTGTGCTTGTGGACAGGCCTTGTGGCCCCTTGCTTCTGTAGAGATGTTTGTCATGCATGTCTCGTACTCTTGCATCTCTTATATCTGCTATATCCTTGCATGTTGACTAGCATTGTGGCCCCTTGCTTCTTCTGAGACTGTGTGGTGATCTTGAGATCCACCCCGAGAGTTTCTTTGTTCTTGTGAACTGGTCTTATGACCGTTGCTTGTTCTTGCTGACGGGTCCTGTGACCCTTGCTCTTGGGTTGTGTGTTGCTCTCCACATGACTACCGTCACCTAGGGTATGGGGGTGTGTCAAACAACAATTGCAATAGTTTCTTAGTATAGTCTAGGTGTTACACTGAGTTATGATGTAGAGGGTATAACCTCCTTAGGGTTTGCTATATCCTCCCTTGTACTGTTTGTTTCTACTCATTCATTCTCCCAGTTCTATCTTTGACACGACGGAGTTCGACGACCTATAGAAGACTGATGCGGAGCCGCCGACGTCGAGAAGCCGGCAGCAGATTTTGACAAGTATGATCGACGAAGGGGTTCTTCGACCTGTCTTAGGTGTTGTCGACGAAGGTCGCCGTCGACCTTTGCGGGACCGACGAATAGTCGTCGAAGATGGGAGCTCGACGGCAGCAGTAGACTGTGTTGGTCGGCGGAGGAGCCCGTCGACCACGGCGGTCCTCTACGGGAGTTGTGGTCGACGAGGGAGGTCGTCATCCAGTGCGCCGGGTGGTCGACCCGGTCGACTAGGTAACCTGCTCGACGAGGTTTTGCGGAGGCATGCAAACGTCGTCGAGGCGGCGATGGCAAAGGCGACTTCGAGCTGGTACCCCGAAGTTGAGGTGGCTCATCAGGCGCAGACAACAGCCAACATGACGTGTGACGGTGCATATTGGGCCAATCGTCTGCGAGCACATGCGAGCATGCACGCTGCTGTCGTCTACAAGTGCAACGCTGGACGGCCGCTTTGCTGCAGCGTTGGCACACTGTCAGCCTGCTTTGTTGGCAGGCCGCCTTTCTGTAGTGCTTGCGCAGCTCCTCTACGCAACGCCAGGAAGCTGTCGACCTTGCTGCGCTGGCGGTCGACCAGCTGCCCTGCTAGGTTGCTAAGCTCTGATGTAGTCATTCTTGCCATTGTATTCTCAATCACTCTGTTATACAACTTTCGCTTGTGAAACTCTTGCCAAATTGCCCTGTGAACGCACAAGTGGTAGAGAAAACCAAAGAATGCTACGATCACTCCTAGAACCCGTGCCTTCCCCCATAGTCCAGCTCCTGGTTTAGAGTGTCTCTCCACATGTACGACAAAGCAGCACATCACCACTCCACCCGTCACCGCTCCTCCCGTCACCACTCCTCCCGTCACCACTCCACCCGTCACCACTCCACACGTCACCACTCCACACGTCACCACTCCACCCGTCACCACTCCACCCGTCATCACTCCACCCGTCACCACTCCTCCCGTCACCACTCCACCCGTCACCACTCCACCCGTCACCACTCCACCCGTCACCACTCCACCCCGTCACCACTCCACCCGTCACCACTCCACCCGTCACCACTCCACCCGTCACCACTCCACCCGTCACCACTCCACCCGTCACCACTCCTCCCGTCACCACTCCACCCGTCACCGCTCCACCCGTCACCGCTCCACCCGTCACCGCTCCACCCGTCACCGCTCCACCCGTCACCGCTCCACCCGTCACCACTCCACCCGTCACCACTCCACCCGTCACCACTCCACCCGTCACCACTCCACCCGTCACCACACCTCCCGTCACCACTCCACCCGTCACCACTCCACCCGTCACCACTCCACCCGTCACCACTCCACCCGTCACCACTCCACCCGTCACCTCTCCACCCGTCATCACTCCACCCGTCACCACTCCTCCCGTCACCACTCCTCCGTCACCACTCCACCCGTCACCACTCCACCCGTCACCACTCCACCCGTCACCACTCCACCCGTCACCACTCCACCCGTCACCACTCCACCCGTCACCACTCCACCCGTCACCACTCCACCGGTCACCACTCCACCCATCACCACTCCACCCGTCACCACTCCACACGTCACCACTCCACCCGTCACCACTCCACCCGTCATCACTCCACCGGTCACCACTCCTCCCGTCACCACTCCACCCGTCACCACTCCACCCGTCACCACTCCACCCGTCACCACTCCACCCGTCACCACTCCACCCGTCACCACTCCACCCGTCACCACTCCACACGTCACCACTCCACCGTCACCACTCCACACGTCATCACTCCACCCGTCACCACTCCTCCCGTCACCACTCCTTCCGTCACCACTCCTTCCGTCACCACTCCACCGGTCACCACTCCACCCGTCACCACTCCACCCGTCATCACTCCACCCGTCATCACTCCACCCGTCACCACTCCTCCCGTCACCACTCCACCCGTCACCACTCCACCCGTCACCACTCCACCCGTCACCACTCCACCCGTCACCACTCCACCCGTCACCACTCCACACGTCACCACTCCACCCGTCACCACTCCACCTGTCATCACTCCACCCGTCACCACTCCTCCCGTCACCACTCCACCCGTCACCACTCCACCCGTCACCACTCCACCCGTCACCACTCCACCCGTCACCACTCCACACGTCACCACTCCACCGTCACCACTCCACACGTCATCACTCCACCCGTCACCACTCCTCCCGTCACCACTCCACCCGTCACCACTCCACCCATCACCACTCCACCCGTCACCACTCCACCCGTCACCAGTCCACCCGTCACCACTCCACCCGTCACCACTCCACCCGTCACCACTCCACCCGTCACCACTCCACACGTCACCACTCCACCCGTCACCACTCCACCCGTCATCACTCCACCCGTCACCACTCCTCCCCTCACCACTCCACCCGTCACCACTCCACCCGTCACCACTCCACCCGTCACAACTCCACCCGTCACCACTCCACCCGTCACCACTCCACCCGTCACCACTCCACCCGTCACCACTCCACCGTCACCACTCCACACGTCATCACTCCACCCGTCACCACTCCTCCCGTCACCACTCCACCCGTCACCACTGCACCCGTCACCACTCCACCCGTCACCACTCCACTCGTCACCACTCCACCCGTCACCACTCCACCCGTCACCACTCCACCCATCACCACTCCTCCCGTCACCACTCCACCTGTCACCACTCCACCCGTCACCACTCCACCTGTCACCACTCCACCCGTCACCACTCCACCCGTCACCACTCCTTCCGTCACCACTCCTTCCGTCACCACTCCACCCGTCACCACTCCATACGTCACCACTCCACCCGTCACCACTCCACCCGTCATCACTCCACCCGTCATCACTCCACCCGTCACCACTCCTCCCGTCACCACTCCACCCGTCACCACTCCACCCGTCACCACTCCACCCGTCACCACTCCACACGTCATCACTCCACCCGTCACCACTCCTCCCGTCACCACTCCACCCGTCACCACTCCACCCATCACCACTCCACCCGTCACCACTCCACCCATCACCAGTCCACCCGTCACCACTCCACCCGTCACGACTCCACCCGTCATCACTCCACCCGTCACCACTCCTCCCGTCACCACTCCACCCGTCACCACTCCACCCGTCACCACTCCACCCGTCACCACTCCACCTGTCTCCACTCCACCCGTCACCACTCCACCGGTCACCACTCCACCGGTCACCACTCCACCCGTCACCACTCCACCCGTCACCACTCCACACGTCACCACTCCACCCGTCACCACTCCACCTGTCATCACTCCACCCGTCACCACTCCTCCCGTCACCACTCCACCCGTCACCACTCCACCCGTCACCACTCCTTCCGTCACCACTCCACCCGTCACCACTCCACCCGTCACCACTCCACCCATTTTTTATTTCTCGCTCTCATGCTCTGCCCACCTCCAATCCGCTTTCATTGATTTCCACCATACCCGCTTTTCTCTGATTTCCATCATACCCGCCCTTCCCCTTGGGCCCCTCCTCTTGTGCACCACGCTTGCAGTGATGTGCACCAGAACCAGTTGTCCGGACCTCTGCCATCTGCCCTCTCCACTCTCCTCCGCCTCAACACCCTGTGAGGCGCACTGCCCCCTGTGAGGCGCACTGCCCCCTGTGAGGCGCACGGCCTGCTGTTAGGAATTTGAGCTGAGGAGGTCTGAGTGAGAAGAGGCGTTGAGGGTTACTGTTGTCCTTCTGTGGTCTCTCTGTGTGCACGTGCGGGAGGCATGTCACTAATACCGTAGGCGTGGGGTGGCAGGTCAGTAATACTGCATGCGTGGGGTGGCAGGTCAGTAATACTGCATGCGTGGGGTGGTAGGTCAGTAATACTGCATGCGTGGGGTGGCGACCTGGTTTGTGTCTTTTGCCATGTCATTCCATTTTTTTTGCGTGCGTTTGTGTGCACGTGTGTGTGCTTGTGTGTGTGTGTGTGTGCGCATGTGTGTTTGTGTGTAGGTGTGTGTCTGTGTGTGCATGCATGTATGTGTATGTGTGTTGTGTGTGTGTGTTTGTTGCACGCATGTAGATTTCTGAGCAGCAAAAATTTCACGGGCCCTATTTTCGACGTCATTGTCAACATGCCATCCCTTGTTACCCTGTAACCATCCAACATGCCATCCCTTGTTACCCTGTAACCAACCAACATGCCATCCCTTGTTGCCCTGTAACCAACATGCCATCCCTTGTTGCCCTGTAACCAACATGCCATCCCTTGTTACCCTGTAACCAACATGCCATCCCTTGTTGCCCTGTAACCAACATGCCATCCCTTGTTGCCCTGTAACCAACATGCCATCCCTTGTTGCCCTGTAACCAACATGCCATCCCTTGTTACCCTGTAACCAACATGCCATCCCTTATTGCCCTGTAACCAACATGCCATCCCTTGTTGCCCTGTAACCAACATGTCATTCCCATCATTCTGTTATGCCCATCAATCCCATCACTCCGCCCATCATTCCCATCATTCTACCCATCAGTCCCAACATTCCGCCCATCATTCTGCCTGCCTGTCGCCTTCTCCCTTTCCTCTCTTGCTCCCCGCTGCCATGCCTCTCTTGATGATGAGAAAGGCACTCTTATTCCCATCTCTTGTTTCTTGCCATGGATGATGAGAAAGACGCTCAGGAGGGGAAACGTCCCGTGTCCGGACGCTGGACGCAGGACGCTTCGCGGAAAAAAGATTGGGCTGCCCGAAAATAGTAATTGAATTGAGAAAATGACCTTCGCGATTTCGTTTGAATGCCAATTACGTGAACTTGTGACCCAATGGGAGCGATGCTGCCAAGCGAGATCGCGAACCAATGGGGCCGATTTTGCTATCTTGCCAAGCAAAATCGCTACCAACCCATTTTTCCCCCAGCCACCACACATTACCGCACTGCATCTCCCCCCACCCCCCAACTTTGTCGGCCGGAACCCAAATTATGAAAGAGAATCATGTCGTCATTCAGAGCTTTCTCGCCGACGTAATTCTCTTTCAAAAACCCTAAATCTAAGTTTCATAATGTGTGGGATTCTGGTGTTGTTTTGAGATCCTTCGGATGATCCATGATCAATGTGCTTGCAATGTCGCGAAACCCCCTCTCCCCCCTTCCTACGGTTTTTTTGGCTGCCCGGAAGTTTTTTTACCCTGCCCGGCCCAGCGTTTTTTGACCGTCCTGTAGGCTGCCGACTAGGCGTCCTGGTCCAGGACGGAGGACGTGTCTTTCTCATCATAGCTTGCCACACGCTGCCCCTGCCTTGCCTTGCCTTGCCTTGCCTTGCCTTGCCTTGCCTTGCCTTTCCTTGCCTTGCCTTGCCTTGCCTTGCCTTGCCTTGCCTTGCCTTGCCTTTCCTTGCCTTGCCTTGCCTTGCCTTGCCTTGCCTTGCCTTTCCTTGCATCGTCTGTCTGTGTCTAACAGCCAAGCCACCAAACCCCCTTCGCCCCCGCCAGTTCATTCTACAACAATAGCTTCTCGGGGCCCATTCCACCCGCCATCTCACGCCTGCACCACCTTGCATTTCTGTCAGCCCCCCTCACCTTTCTCTCCCTCTCTCCCTCACTCCCTTGCCTCACTCCTTGGTTCCTTCACCACCTCCGTCGCTCGCTTCTCACTTCCTTACCCGCCTCCTTCTCGCTCGCACTTACTCGCTCTTGCTCGTGTCAGCCATTGTTTTCCCTATGCCACTACACTCCCTCCCATGCCCACTCCTTCCCTTCCATGATCATCCTTTCCCTCCCATGCACATCCCCTCCCTCCCATGCCCATCCCTTTCCTCCCATGCCCATCTCTTCCTTCCCATGTTCATCCGCTCCCTCCCATGCCGATCCCCTCCCACCCATGTCACTCCCCTCCCTCCCATGCCCATCCCTTCCATCCCATGACCATCCCCTCCCTTTCATGCCCATCCCCTCCCCCCCTTCCACGCCCATCCTCTCCCTCCCATGCCCCTCCCCTCCCTCTTATGTAATCCCCGCTCTTCCTTCCCTTCCCGCCCTACATGCTCCCAGCGAAATGGATGCCAACCCCTTGCATGTGCCACTGCCACAAGAAATCAGCCATCTCACCGCCCTCTGCTTCCTGTACGCCTCACCTCTTGCACATGCACGCCTCTCACTCCGTGGAGATCAAATCTAGATCTAGCGACCCGCGATTTTCTTGCAAAAAAAAAAAAAAATTCTCTTTTGGGGCCAAAAAAAAAAACACGCAGTGTCAACGTTTTGGCGCTGTCTCAAACAAATGTCAAGCATCGAAGCCATGCGTTTTGACGCTTGATGCTTGCAGATTTTAGCGTCAAAGCCTCATAGCCTGCAAGCAACGCCACCCCATGCCTGCCCTCCCCTGCAAGCAACGCCAACCTCCCCTGCCACAGGAGCATGGCATGGACTGACATTTCTGGCCCACTGCCCGACACCATCAGTGCCCTCACCGCGCTGGAAAACATGTAACCAGCCCAGCACCATCAGATGCATCTCTTGCTCATTGCGCATCTCTTGCTCATCGCGCATCTCTTGCTCATCGCGCATCTCTTGCTCATCGCGCATCTCTTGCTCATCGCGCATTATCCCTCCCATTGCATGCCCCATCGTCCCTCCCATTGCATGCCTCATCGTCCCTCCCATTGCATGCCACATGGTCCCTTCCAGTGCATTGTTAGAATATATTTACCTGCATGCTCTAGTTTTGGGTGTAGAGTGGGTAAACCCCCTGATTGGGGTAAACCCAAAGCTTCAACTTTGGAGGGTTGGCCACCACCCCACATGGGTTGGTTTGTCCTTCCCTCTAACTAGGCAAGTTGGTCTTCTTGTCTAGATAGGTTTGGCGTTCCTCTCCAACCAACCCTTCTTTCCTTGTATAATAACCCTTGTTATCTTTTGAGGTAATATCGAAATTTTCTCCTCTCACGTTTTACTAAAACAACTTAGACTCTTTCATGCATGCCCCATAGTCCCTCCCATTCCGTGCCCCATCGTCCCTTCCATTGCATGCCCCATGGTTCACCACCCACCCACCACCAGCTACGCGCCATCCAACGCCATCACAGGAAGCATCCCCTCCACCATTGCTGCCCTTTCCCGCCTCGAGTTCTTTGCACCTTTGGGACTTGCTAACTATATCTTTCTTGCGTCTGAGCGTTTTCAAGAGTGGGCAAGGAAAGGTGCTGCGCTTGAGGGTTCTTCTTGTACCCTCTTCCCTTGCTTGCTGTTTCTCTTTGTATCCTCTTCTTGTACCCTCTTCCCTCTGCTGCTCCTGTCTTACGCTGGGGATGTGCACGGGAAGAAGGCCGCACGGGGAAAATACTCCTCTTTGGCGGTGTCCGTCCCACTCCCCACACGCACATGCATGGCAGGGAGCTGAGTCAGAACCCCTTTCTCACATGCATGGCAGGGAGCTGAGTCAGAACCCCTTTCTCACATGCATGGCAGGGAGCTGAGTCAGAACCCCTTTCTCACATGCATGGCAGGGAGCTGAGTCAGAACCCCTTTCTCACATGCATGGCAGGGAGCTGAGTCAGAACCCCTTTCTCACATGCATGGCAGGGAGCTGAGTCAGAACCCCTTTCTCACATGCATGGCAGGGAGCTGAGTCAGAACCCCTTTCTCACATGCATGGCAGGGAGCTGAGTCAGAACCCCTTTCTCACATGCATGGCAGGGAACTGAGTCAGAACCCCTTTCTCACATGCATGGCAGGGAGCTGACTCAGAACCCCTTTCTCACATGCATGGCAGGGAGCTGAGTCAGAACTCCTTTCTCACATGCATGGCAGGGAGCTGAGTCAGAACCCCTTTCTCACATGCATGGCAGGGAGCTGAGTCAGAACCCCTTTGTCACATGCATGGCAGGGAGCTGAGTCAGAACCCCTTTCTCACATGCATGGCAGGGTGCTGAGTCAGAACCCCTTTCTCACATGCATGGCAGGGAGCTGAGTCAGAACCCCTTTCGCACATGAATGGCAGGGAGCTGAGTCAGAACCCCTTTCTCACATGCATGGCAGGGAGCTGAGTCAGAACCCCTTTCTCACATGCATGGCAGGGAGCTGAGTCAGAACCCCTTTCTCACATGCATGGCAGGGAGCTGAGTCAGAACCCCTTTCTCACATGCATGGAAGGGAGCTGAGTCAGAACCCCTTTCGCACATGCATGGCAGGGAGCTGAGTCAGAACCCCTTTCTCACATGCATGGCAGGGAGCTGAGTCAGAACCCCTTTCTCACATGCATGGCAGGGAGCTGAGTCAGAACCCCTTTCTCACATGCATGGTAGGGAGCTGAGTCAGAACCCCTTTCTCACATGCATGGCAGGGAGCTGAGTCAGAACCCCTTTCTCACATGCATGGCAGGGAGCTGAGTCAGAACCCCTTTCTCACATGCATGGCAGGGAGCTGAGTCAGAACCCCTTTCTCACATGCATGGCAGGGAGCTGAGTCAGAACCCCTTTCTCACATGCATGGCAGGTAGCTGAGTCAGAACCCCTTTCTCACATGCATGGCAGGGAGCTGACTCAGAACCCCTTTCTCACATACATGGCAGGGAGCTGAGTCAGAACCCCTTTCTCACATGCATGGCAGGGAGCTGAGTCAGAACCCCTTTCTCACATGCATGGCAGGGAGCTGAGTCAGAACCCCTTTCTCACATGCAGGGCAGGGAGCTGAGTCAGAACCCCTTTCTCACATGCATGGCAGGGTGCTGAGTCAGAACCCCTTTCTCACATGCATGGCAGGGAGCTGAGTCAGAACCCCTTTCTCACATGCATGGCAGGGAGCTGAGTCAGAACCCCTTTCTCACATGCATGGCAGGGAGCTGAGTCAGAACCCCTTTCTCACATGCATGGCAGGGAGCTGAGTCAGAACTCCTTTCTCACATGCATGGCAGGGAGCTGAGTCAGAACCCCTTTCTCACATGCATGGCAGGGAGCTGAGTCAGAACCCCTTTCTCACATGCATGGCAGGGAGCTGAGTCAGAACCCCTTTCTCACATGCATGGCAGGGAGCTGAGTCAGAACCCCTTTCTCACATGCATCGCAGGGTGCTGAGTTTGAACCCCTTTCTCACATGCATGGCAGGGTGCTGAGTCAGAACCCCTTTCTCACGGGATCCCTGCCTCGCGCCCTCTCCCGCCTCACCAGACTCCAGCAGCTGTCAGCCCCTAAACCCTGCCTCTCCTCTTGCAATCTCTCACTTTTTTTTTTTTGTTGGGTAGAGCAATTACATACACATGCCCACCACCGCATACATCGGTGTTGGGATTACATACATCGGCATGTAAAAACGGCAGGGGAAATTGCCAGTCCATTATCAGCAGGGGAAATTGCCAGTCCATTATCGGCAGGGGAAATCGCCAGTCTGTGCTAAAATGCGGGTCTAATGACCCGACTCGGGGTCGGGTGTCGTGTCACATCTAACCTGTCCATTATCCATAAAACGTCGGGGCGGGTTGCAAACCTTTGGGATGGGATGTGATCATGTGACACGAGGTTAGGCCGACCCGACCTGACCCTTACCTGGCCGGGGCCGGCCCTGGTCGGCCTGGGCCAGGACAGGTCGGCCTGGGTCAGGACGGGTCGGCCCGGGTCGGGACGGGTCGGCCTGGGTCGGCCTGGGTCGGGACAGGTCAGCCCATTGCTGAACTGAACCCCCTCGTGTAGATCGCTTCCTCCTCACAAGCGTATGTCCCATCCCATCACATCCCCTGCCAAGACCTGTCCCGCTCCCATACCCTTCATCCCTTCGTGCTTAGCTTTCCATGTCTCCTTTCCTTCTCCCCTGCCCTCTTCCCCCTTCCCCATTTCCCCAACCCCCTGCCCACTTCTACTTTCCCCTTTCCCACTCCCCCTTCCCCCTGCCCCCTTCCCCCCCCCCCTCTTCCGCCTTTCCCCTTTCTCCTCCCCCCCCCACCCTTCCACCTTCTCCAATCCCCCTCCCTCCTCCCCCCTGCCCCCTTCCCCCTTCCCCCCTTCCCCTGCCCACTGCCCCTTCCCCCTTCCCACTTCCCCCTTCCCCCTCCCCTTTCCCCCTTTCCCCTTGCCCCTTCCGCCTTCACCTTCCCCATCCCCCCTCCCCCAGTATACTCGGAAACACTGCCATCTCGGGCCGGTTGCCTCGCTTCCTCGCAGCCCTCACTCGCCTCACTGTGCTGTAAGCCATGAAGACTGGGAGAGACCCCACGTCAATCCTTCATCACTGCCATCTCGGGTCAGCTGCCTCACTCGCCTCACTGTGCTGTGCGCCCCTCTCCCCTTTCCTCCCCACCCTGTGCGCCCTTCCTTCTCCTCTCTTCACCCCTCCCCACCCACCATTTTGCTTCAATCTCCTGCCCCACTCTATCTCCTGCCCACTCTATCTCCTGCCCACTCTACCTCCTGCCCACTCTACCTCCTGCCCACTCTACCTCCTGCCCACTCTACCTCCTGCCCACTCTATCTCCTGCCCACTCTATCTCCTGCCCACTCTACCTCCTGCCCACTCTACCTCCTGCCCACTCTACCTCCTGCCCACTCTACCTCCTGCCCACTCTATCTCCTGCCCCACTCTATCTCCTGCCCACTCTATCTCCTGCCCACTCTATCTCCTGCCCACTCTACCTCCTGCCCACTCTACCTCCTGCCCACTCTACCTCCTGCCCACTCTATCTCCTGCCCACTCTATCTCCTGCCCACTCTACCTCCTGCCCACTCTACCTCCTGCCCACTCTATCTCCTGCCCCACTCTATCTCCTGCTCACTCTATCTCCTGCCCACTCTATCTCCTGCCCACTCTATCTCCTGCCTACTCTACCTCCTGCCCACTCTATCTCCTGCCCACTCTACCTCCTGCCATGTCCGTGCCTACTGCCCAGTCATTTGCCTTCACCTGAGTCAAACTGATGTTTGCTGTCTCCCTCTCCTCGCTTCTCACATTCCTCTGACTGGTCTCTTTCTCCCCTTCCGCTTGCTCCCCTCTTGTCTCACCTTCCCAAACCACATCCCACTCAGTGAATTGATCGGAACAAAGGTTCAAGGAAAAATCCCTGCCGATTTTGGAGCCCTCACGAATCTTGTAACCTTGTGCGATTTCCTCTTCTCTACGAGTACATACATATTCATATTCATAAACAGATACATGACATACTCACATGACATACCTTTAAATGTGCCTTCCACATGACATGCCTTTATGTGTGCCTTGCACATAACATACCTTTATGTGTGCCCACATGACATAACTTTATGTGCTTTCTGTCAGAACTTAAGCTTAGAATCCATGCATTAGTAATGAGCTCGAAACTCTACATCCAGGATGGGCAAGGAAAGGATGGGGAAGGGAATCAGGGGCAATCTTTAGGGATTGGGGGTAATCCCAATGCAATCTCCAATTGGTGGGTTGGAGATTGCTTAGAGATCACATTTGGGTTTAGTTGGGATGTAGGTGTACACCCAATCAAACACAAAGTGCAAACTACACTACGTTACGATATAGAAAATACAAAATACAAAGTGTGAGATTGAGGTCTAACACTAACACTTTCCACATGACATAACTTTATGTGCCTTTCACATGACATAACTTTATGTGCCTTTCACATGACATACCTGTGTGAATCGGTGAATCGCGAAAATGCTCTGATAATTTGGATTAGAATAGGAGGGGCATCTATTGTGGTGAGGTAAAAAGGGGTGGGAGGTTAAGTTCTTGTCCAAGTTTATAGGCCTCCACTAGTAAGATTAAGTCGACTCATAAGGGGTCTTTGGCCAATGGCCATGATTATTGGCCCCACCAGTACGTTGGGTCGGAGAAAATTGCGGGTCCCAATAGTCTCGTTCGAAGTTGAGTTAAGATTACTTGGGGTCAAGTAATCTCCCAACCCAGCCTTGGCACCAAAATATTGGGCCACGGTTGGGTTCCCAGCCTGCCACTAGGGCAGGCATTAGTTTTTTGTGCAACCAAACTTAGTAGTTTGGGTGTCGAATTCTACCCGAGCATCATAGCTTACATACTGGACTCAAACATGATGCTAATCTGGCAATTCTTCTCTGTGTGCCCCGCTCATCTGCCCTCTGTGTGCATCATCTTTCAGTGATTATCCTAATGGTGGGGTGGGCTGCCCAATGGAGGGACGCTGTGAAATAAAACAGGACATTTCATCCATGTTTTGCAGGATCTGTTCGACTTTCTGCTCCACTTGTATCCCAATCAACGGTCAGGATCACACCAACCAACCAACCAACCATACATACACTTAACCTTGCTTTGGTCATCCGCACCACAAACCCCCCCGTTTGTACTCCCCAATATTTAACCCGTCAATTATCTTCGCATTCTGTTTAATTTAAGAAAATCGCTTCCATACTCAAACATGACCACCCATCCCCCATCCAATAGGCCCACCCATCCCTCACCTCACCCTAACCCTTGATCCTTCCCCCCCGTCTTATTCTCCCCAGCACCAATCCCCAGACCGCCTCCCCCTTCTCCTCCTCCCCCTCCGCCATCCCTCCTCCCACCTCCTCCCCTTATCATCTCAGTCCTGCTCGCCTCCCCTCCCCCTTCCCCCCCTCTCGCCTCCTCCCTCTCACCATCCACAATTGCCGGGGCAGCAGCGGGTGCAGCGGTGCTGCTGCTGGTGGTGCTGGTGGGGGGAGGATGGGGGCTGTGGTGGTGTAGGCGGGGGCAGGCGCGGAAGGGGGAGGTTATGAGTGAGTGGGCAGGGGAGAGGGCGGGAAGCGGGGATGAAGAAGGCATGTGATGTGATGGATGGGTGGGGTGGGTCTTGTAGTGGGGCACATGAAAGAAGTGCTGTTTTGAGACGTCTCAAATTTATGCTTGCATCAGAGGGAGGGGAGCAGGGATGAAGCAGGCATGTGATGTGATGGATGGGCGGGTGGTGTGGGGCGCGAGTCGCCATGCCAGCAAGTGGTGGGTGGAGTGGAATGTGTGTGTAGAGGAAAGGGGGAGGGATTGTGTGTGAGTATAGGTGGGTGGGTGGGTGTGAGTATCTCTTTACGTGTTTGTGTGTGTGTTTGTGAGTGCGTGCGTGCATGCATGCATGCGCATGTGTGTGTGTGCTTGGCATGCTGCCCCCTTGTTGCTGATTCTACCCTTCTCCTTGGTTCAATTCAAGTGACATGTGGTTCCGGCACTTCTCTTTCAACAGCGCCTAGTATCTTCCTTTTACTCGCCCCTCTTCCTTTTTTGCCATATTCCCACCCCATATTCCCCCCTTCGTCCGCTCATGGGTCCCCATTTGCCATATTGGCTCACTTTGTTCCCCTCATTCTCTTCATTCCCCCCATTCCCCTTCTTCCCCTCATTCCCCTCATCCCCCCCGCTCTTCCCGCTCCCCTCATTCCCCCCTTACCCTTCCAGCCGCTTCTATGCTCAAGCGCACCCTCCCCTGCCCTCACATTCCCCTTGCTGACCTCATCAGGGCCACCAATGGGTGGGCAGAGGGGCGGAGGGTGGGGGGAGGCAGGTGGAGTGACGTGTACAGGGGGGAATGGGGGGAATCGGGGCGGAGGGCGGAGGGGGAAAAGAGCGAGGAGAGGAGCGAGGCGGAGAGCGATGGTGGGAATGGAAGAGGAGGAGAGGGGAAGCAGGACGGGGGAGTGGGGAAGCAGGATGGGGGAGAGGGGAAGCAGGAAGGGGGAGAGGAGGGGGGCGCGTTGCAGAGGAAGCAGGGGGTGCGTGCAGGGAGGGGGAGGGGACGGGGGGGGGGGGGGCGTGTGGGCAGTGAAGCGCATGAGAGGGGGGCCGCCGTGGGAGTCACTGGAGGCCCATGCGTTGGCCTTGGCGCGGGTGGGGCACCCCAACGTGCTCCGCCTCGTGGGGTGGTGCAGCTGGCAGGCTAAGGGGGGCAGCGAGGGGCTGCAAGAGGCAGGGCAGAGGGGAGTGCGGGAGGGGGGAGGGGAGGGGGGTATGCAGGAAGGGCGGGCGCGGGGAGAGGAAAGGGGCGGGCAGGAGGGGGGAGAGGAGGGGGCCAGGCAAGAGGGGGGAGAGGAGGGGCAGGTGTTGGTGTACGAGTGGATGGAGAGGGGCAGCTTGCAGGCGGTTCTGCAGGCAGGTGCGCTTGTTAGAACCGAGCTTGAACTGGTACATTAGTAATGAGCTCATAGCTCTTTAATTGCAGGTGTTGGTGTATGAGTGGATGGAGGGGGGCAGCTTGCAGGGGGTGCTGCAGACAGGTGCGCTCACAGTGGACCGCCATGCCATTCACTCACCACCTGTCCTCCTCCACCTCCCACTCCTCTCCTCTCCTCTCCTCTCCTCTCCTCTCCCCATCTCTCCTCTCCTCTCCTCTCCTCTCCTCTCCTCTCCTCTCCCCATCTCTCCTCTCCTCTCGTCTCCTCTCCTCTCCCCACCTCTCCTCTCCTCTCCCCTCCTCTCCCCTCCTCTCTTCGCCTCTCCCGTCCTCTCCTCTCCTCTCCTCTCCCCTCCTCTCTTCTCCTCTCCCGTCCTCTCCTCTCGTCGCCTCTCCTCTCCTCTCCTCTCTTCTCCTTTCCTCTCCTCTCCTCTCACATCCCACCCCACACCTGCCCCTTGCAACCACCGCTTTCTGCTTTCCTTGTTTTTCCCTTATCGAGGTAATCCCTCGCGCCCCACCTTCCTTTCCCTCCCAAGCCAGCTCAGCCCCTCAAGCCCTATTGTTGTTGTAGCAGTGTGTGGACACAAGAGTGGACCCTCTTCCTTTCCTTGTGTCCCTCTTCCTTTCCTTGCGACCCTCTTCCTTTCCTTGCGACCCTCTTCCTTTCCTTGCGACCCTCTTCCTTTCCTTGCGACCCTCTTCCTTTCCTTGCGACCCTCTTCCTTTCCTTGCGACCCTCTTCCTTTCCTTGGGCCCCTCTTCCTTTCCTTGCGACCCTCTTCCTTTCCTTGTGACCCTCTTCCTTTCCTTGCGACCCTCTTCCTTACCTTGCGACCCTCTTTCTTTCCTTGCGACCCTCTTCCTTTCCTTGCGACCCTCTTCCTTTCCTTGCGACCCTCTTCCTTTCCTTGCGACCCTCTTCCTTACCTTGCGACCCTCTTTCTTTCCTTGCGACCCTCTTCCTTTCCTTGCGACCCTCTTCCTTTCCTTGCGACCCTCTTCCTTTCCTTGCGACCCTCTTCCTTTCCTTGGGCCCCTCTTCCTTTCCTTGCGACCCTCTTCCTTTCCTTGCGACCCTCTTCCTTTCCTTGCGACCCTCTTCCTTACCTTGTGACCCTCTTCCTTTCCTTGCGACCCTCTTCCTTTCCTTGTGACCCTCTTCCTTTCCTTGCGACCCTCTTCCTTACCTTGCGACCCTCTTCCTTACCTTGCGACCCTCTTCCTTTCCTTGGGACCCTCTTCCTTTCCTTGTGACCCTCTTCCTTTCCTTGTGACCCTCTTCCTTTCCTTGCGACCCTCTTCCTTTCCTTGCGACCCTCTTCCTTTCCTTGAGACCCTCTTCCTTTCTTTGTGACCCGCTTCCTTTCCTTGTGACCCTCTTCCTTTCCTTGTGACCCTCTTCCTTTCCTTGTGACCCTCTTCCTTTCCTTGCGACCCTCTTCCTTTCCTTGCGACCCTCTTCCTTTCCTTGCGACCCTCTTCCTTACCTTGCGACCCTCTTCCTTACCTTGCGACCCTCTTCCTTTCCTTGCGACCCTCTTCCTTTCCTTGTGACCCTCTTCCTTTCCTTGTGACCCTCTTCCTTTCCTTGTGACCCTCTTCCTTTCCTTGCGACCCTCTTCCTTTCCTTGTGACCCTCTTCCTTTCCTTGGGACCCTCTTCCTTTCCTTGCGACCCTATTCCTTTCCTTGCGACCCTCTTCCTTTCCTTGCGACCCTCTTCCTTTCCTTGTGACCCTCTTCCTTTCCCTGGGACCCTCTTCCTTTCCTTGCGACCCTCTTCCTTTCCTTGCGACCCTCTTCCTTTCCTTGCGACCCTCTTCCTTTCCTTGCGACCCTCTTCCTTTCCTTGCGACCCTCTTCCTTTCCTTGCGACCCTCTTCCTTTCCTTGCGACCCTCTTCCTTTCCTTGCGACCCTCTTCCTTTCCTTGCGACCCTCTTCCTTTCCTTGCGACCCTCTTCCTTTCCTTGCGACCCTCTTCCTTTCCTTGCGACCCTCTTCCTTTCCTTGCGACCCTCTTCCTTTCCTTGCGACCCTCTTCCTTTCCTTGGGACCCTCTTCCTTTCATTGGGACCCTCTTCCTTTCCTTGCGACCCTCTTCCTTTCCTTGCGACCCTCTTCCTTTCCTTGCGACCCTCTTCCTTTCCTTGCGACCCTCTTCCTTTCCTTGCGACCCTCTTCCTTTCCTTGCGACCCTCTTCCTTTCCTTGCGACCCTCTTCCTTTCCTTGCGACCCTCTTCCTTTCCTTGCGACCCTCTTCCTTTCCTTGCGACCCTCTTCCTTTCCTTGCGACCCTCTTCCTTTCCTTGCGACCCTCTTCCTTTCCTTGCGACCCTCTTCCTTTCCTTGCGACCCTCTTCCTTTCCTTGCGACCCTCTTCCTTTCCTTGCGACCCTCTTCCTTTCCTTGCGACCCTCTTCCTTTCCTTGCGACCCTCTTCCTTTCCTTGCGACCCTCTTCCTTTCCTTGCGACCCTCTTCCTTTCCTTGCGACCCTCTTCCTTTCCTTGCGACCCTCTTCCTTTCCTTGCGACCCTCTTCCTTTCCTTGCGACCCTCTTCCTTTCCTTGCGACCCTCTTCCTTTCCTTGCGACCCTCTTCCTTTCCTTGCGACCCTCTTCCTTTCCTTGCGACCCTCTTCCTTTCCTTGCGACCCTCTTCCTTTCCTTGCGACCCTCTTCCTTTCCTTGCGACCCTCTTCCTTTCCTTGCGACCCTCTTCCTTTCCTTGCGACCCTCTTCCTTTCCTTGCGACCCTCTTCCTTTCCTTGCGACCCTCTTCCTTTCCTTGCGACCCTCTTCCTTTCCTTGCGACCCTCTTCCTTTCCTTGCGACCCTCTTCCTTTCCTTGCGACCCTCTTCCTTTCCTTGCGACCCTCTTCCTTTCCTTGCGACCCTCTTCCTTTCCTTGCGACCCTCTTCCTTTCCTTGCGACCCTCTTCCTTTCCTTGCGACCCTCTTCCTTTCCTTGCGACCCTCTTCCTTTCCTTGCGACCCTCTTCCTTTCCTTGCGACCCTCTTCCTTTCCTTGCGACCCTCTTCCTTTCCTTGCGACCCTCTTCCTTTCCTTGCGACCCTCTTCCTTTCCTTGCGACCCTCTTCCTTTCCTTGCGACCCTCTTCCTTTCCTTGCGACCCTCTTCCTTTCCTTGCGACCCTCTTCCTTTCCTTGCGACCCTCTTCCTTTCCTTGCGACCCTCTTCCTTTCCTTGCGACCCTCTTCCTTTCCTTGCGACCCTCTTCCTTTCCTTGCGACCCTCTTCCTTTCCTTGCGACCCTCTTCCTTTCCTTGCGACCCTCTTCCTTTCCTTGCGACCCTCTTCCTTTCCTTGCGACCCTCTTCCTTTCCTTGCGACCCTCTTCCTTTCCTTGCGACCCTCTTCCTTTCCTTGCGACCCTCTTCCTTTCCTTGCGACCCTCTTCCTTTCCTTGCGACCCTCTTCCTTTCCTTGCGACCCTCTTCCTTTCCTTGCGACCCTCTTCCTTTCCTTGCGACCCTCTTCCTTTCCTTGCGACCCTCTTCCTTTCCTTGCGACCCTCTTCCTTTCCTTGCGACCCTCTTCCTTTCCTTGCGACCCTCTTCCTTTCCTTGCGACCCTCTTCCTTCTTGCGACCCTTTCCTTGCGACCCTCTTCCTTTCCTTGCGACCCTCTTCCTTTCCTTGCGACCCTCTTCCTTTCCTTGCGACCCTCTTCCTTTCCTTGCGACCCTCTTCCTTTCCTTGCGACCCTCTTCCTTTCCTTGCGACCCTCTTCCTTTCCTTGCGACCCTCTTCCTTTCCTTGCGACCCTCTTCCTTTCCTTGGGACCCTCTTCCTTTCCTTGCGACCCTCTTCCTTTCCTTGCGACCCTCTTCCTTTCCTTGCGACCCTCTTCCTTTACTTGCCCTCTTCCTTTCCTTGCGACCCTCTTCCTTTCCTTGCGACCCTCTTCCTTTCCTTGCGACCCTCTTCCTTTCCTTGCGACCCTCTTCCTTTCCTTGCGACCCTCTTCCTTTCCTTGCGACCCTCTTCCTTTCCTTGCGACCCTCTTCCTTTCCTTGCGACCCTCTTCCTTTCCTTGCGACCCTCTTCCTTTCCTTGCGACCCTCTTCCTTTCCTTGCGACCCTCTTCCTTTCCTTGCGACCCTCTTCCTTTCCTTGCGACCCTCTTCCTTTCCTTGCGACCCTCTTCCTTTCCTTGCGACCCTCTTCCTTTCCTTGCGACCCTCTTCCTTTCCTTGCGACCCTCTTCCTTTCCTTGCGACCCTCTTCCTTTCCTTGCGACCCTCTTCCTTTCCTTGCGACCCTCTTCCTTTCCTTGCGACCCTCTTCCTTTCCTTGCGACCCTCTTCCTTTCCTTGCGACCCTCTTCCTTTCCTTGCGACCCTCTTCCTTTCCTTGCGACCCTCTTCCTTTCCTTGCGACCCTCTTCCTTTCCTTGCGACCCTCTTCCTTTCCTTGCGACCCTCTTCCTTTCCTTGCGACCCTCTTCCTTTCCTTGCGACCCTCTTCCTTTCCTTGCGACCCTCTTCCTTTCCTTGCGACCCTCTTCCTTTCCTTGCGACCCTCTTCCTTTCCTTGCGACCCTCTTCCTTTCCTTGCGACCCTCTTCCTTTCCTTGCGACCCTCTTCCTTTCCTTGCGACCCTCTTCCTTTCCTTGCGACCCTCTTCCTTTCCTTGCGACCCTCTTCCTTTCCTTGCGACCCTCTTCCTTTCCTTGCGACCCTCTTCCTTTCCTTGCGACCCTCTTCCTTTCCTTGCGACCCTCTTCCTTTCCTTGCGACCCTCTTCCTTTCCTTGCGACCCTCTTCCTTTCCTTGCGACCCTCTTCCTTTCCTTGCGACCCTCTTCCTTTCCTTGCGACCCTCTTCCTTTCCTTGCGACCCTCTTCCTTTCCTTGCGACCCTCTTCCTTTCCTTGCGACCCTCTTCCTTTCCTTGCGACCCTCTTCCTTTCCTTGCGACCCTCTTCCTTTCCTTGCGACCCTCTTCCTTTCCTTGCGACCCTCTTCCTTTCCTTGCGACCCTCTTCCTTTCCTTGCGACCCTCTTCCTTTCCTTGCGACCCTCTTCCTTTCCTTGCGACCCTCTTCCTTTCCTTGCGACCCTCTTCCTTTCCTTGCGACCCTCTTCCTTTCCTTGCGACCCTCTTCCTTTCCTTGCGACCCTCTTCCTTTCCTTGCGACCCTCTTCCTTTCCTTGCGACCCTCTTCCTTTCCTTGCGACCCTCTTCCTTTCCTTGCGACCCTCTTCCTTTCCTTGCGACCCTCTTCCTTTCCTTGCGACCCTCTTCCTTTCCTTGCGACCCTCTTCCTTTCCTTGCGACCCTCTTCCTTTCCTTGCGACCCTCTTCCTTTCCTTGCGACCCTCTTCCTTTCCTTGCGACCCTCTTCCTTTCCTTGCGACCCTCTTCCTTTCCTTGCGACCCTCTTCCTTTCCTTGCGACCCTCTTCCTTTCCTTGCGACCCTCTTCCTTTCCTTGCGACCCTCTTCCTTTCCTTGCGACCCTCTTCCTTTCCTTGCGACCCTCTTCCTTTCCTTGCGACCCTCTTCCTTTCCTTGCGACCCTCTTCCTTTCCTTGCGACCCTCTTC